TGTAAACAGGGTTTTCCTAAATAAATTGTCTGTAGCAGCAAGCATTCTCAGCCATTTGTTTTTCCTCCTATATTATTCTTAGCTCTGCTTATGTTACCATGATTTTGGCTCTTGATAACATTTCCATTTCTTTTCTTGGGATGTTTCTTCTTTCACCTCCTTTTCCTTCCTGATTGTTCAATTACATGTGCTCATTCATCTCTCATTAGTTCCTGTTCATTGGAGGGTACTTTGGAGAGCTCTTTATATAGCATTCATAATATCCTTATCCTTATCTGGATTCTCACTGACAACAAAGAGTTCCATCCTTTGGCAGTTCTGTGCATTCACTCCTTCATTCTCTTCTGAACAAATCACTCACAAGGTCCATAAATGGAAGCCTAATGAATTTGCTAGACTTTTTTCTTTAAAAAATTCCTTCTTTAATGAAGTTGTACATAGGAAAGTGTTAAAATGAAGATTCATATACACTCTTTTATCATAAGCCTAGCCATTTAATAGAAGTTGCTCAATTATTTCTTACACAGTCAATATGATTCTCAGTGTTTTGTCTTTATAATTGTGTCCATCCTTTCATTGGGTTTCACAGCTCATTACTCTTCAATATAAAATGACTCTTATCTAATAGAAGTTTATTTCTTTCATATATACATGTGTTTGTGTGTGTGTGTGTGTGTGTGGTGTCTCTCTCTCACTATAAACAATTTCAGTATCTAATTCCAAGAAATAGTATGTTAGGGCTGGTTCATGCACACCTGAGTGCATAGGTTATCCAGTGCAGCCTTGAGCCTAGAGTCTTCTGCCCACTGCGCATTAAACCTTTAATGAGAACTGGAGCTTTTGTGCATAAATGCTCATATGCGTAGACCCTGCTAATGCAAATCTATCCATCGTGAAAAGAGGGTGGGCAAATCACACAAGCGGGAGAGCTTCTTGCTGGGAAATTTACACATGTAGGCTGCAATCCTTATTAAAGATTATTTGTGCAAAATAACCTACTTGGGGCATGTGTGAATCTGTCCCACATTACTTGTGCATATGGTAAAGTAGATCATCAGGAAATACCTTTGGCAAAACAATCACTGATGCCTCAGCTCAGCTGGTTTAGTTTAATATTTGACTTTCTGTGTAGAATAAACAGTATTAAAATGTCTGTTCTACTGAAAATCAAGTTTTTCTCTCTCTCTCTCTCTCTCTTTTTTAGTCATCCACATTTTATATCAGATAAATTGTAAATGGGTGGTTCTGAAGTTTGACAAAGATATATAGTCTGCTAAAAATCCACTTAAAGGTAATTTAAAGATCAACACAAGACTCAGTGTAATGGAGAATGTGGATAGGTCCCCTGACTACTTTCTTTCTTACCATGCTGCTAACACATCCAGAGGGGGAAAAATGGCTAAAAGATGAAGATCATCCTGAAATAAAAGATATTGAATAAGCATTCTGTAAAATCTCTTCACATGCCATCCTTTGGATAACAAAGAAAAAAGATATCCCTCTTGAAAGTTTCAAAATGTTCTCATTAATGCACTATGGCAGTGATGGTGAACCTTTGAGAGACTGAGTGCCCAAACTCAGTGTTGATCCCACACCGGGTTTCACTGGGTGCTGGAGGTGGGACTTCTGGGGGCAGATAGGACTTCCAGGAGAAAACACACAAGGAAAAAATGGAGGACCTGACCAAATAAAAGCTCAAAACAAAAACAAAACAAAAAAGCCATCCATATAAATGAATCCATTCTTCTCAACCCTGCTAAAAATGGAGGACCTTTTAGAATCCCTCCTGGACAGGAGGTTGAAATGGAGGACACTTCCTGGAAAGAGGAGGACCATACCTGGTCACCATGAGCTAAAAACACCCATATAGATATAAATCCATGCTTCGCAGCCATGCCCAAAGTGGAGGACCTTTTGGAATCCCTCCTGGCCAGTTCCTATTTTCCTTAGAGCAGCAGCAGCAGATAAGTCTTGCACCCAGAGCTGAGGGTGTGTTTGTTTTTTGAGAAGGGAGGACAGCAACCATGTTCATCAGTGGGGTGCTTGAGGACACAATACAAATGTTGAATGGGTTTCCCCTCCTTGATTTCAGCACAATAGACAAATGAAAGGAATAATTTAAATGTAGACTCAGTCAGGGATTCGTGGCTAGTAAGTTACAATTTTAAGTCTGTGTCTTGCTCAGTTCAATAAGTATATTGCAATCAAACAAGCCATTTTAACGTTCACCAGAAAAGTACAGCTGAGTACATAATAAAATGAGAACCAGTATGGTTTAATGGTTTGAATGTTGGACTGTGACTCTGGAGACTTGAGTTCGATTTCCAGCTTGATCATGAAACCCACTGGGTGAGCTGGAGTAGATCACAGGCTCTCAGCCTCAAATGATGGCAATAGCAAAAATCCCCTCTGAACAAATCTTGAAAACTTGAAGGCAGAACAACAATACGTGATACAGGTGTAAATAAACCTGATGAACTGAATTTATATTTCTGACTGTTTTTAGCTTTTATGTTGTCATGTCCTCCATTTTTCTTGAACATCACCCATTTTCAGCATGGCTAAGAAGCATGAATTTACATTTTTATATGGATGTTTTTAGCTTTTATTTTGTCATGTCATGAGCTTTACTTGAATGTTCTCCATTTTGACCATGGCTAAGAAGCATGGATTTATATTTATAGAAGTGTTTTTTAGCATTTATTTTGTAATGTCCTCCATTTTGAGCATGGCTAAGAAGCGTGAATTGACATTTCTAGGAGTGTTTTTAACTTTTATTTGGTCAGGTCCGCGATTTTCCTTGAATATCCTCCATTTTTAGCATGCCTAAGAAGCATAAATTTATAGGAGTGGGGTTTTTTTAGCATTTATTTGATTACACCCTACATTTTCCTTGAATGTCCTCCATAGAATGCCCTGTGCATACTGATATTCCAGATTAACAGGGCTGGTTCTCTGAATTCATACCCAAGTTGCAAGCCTCCCCTCTGGCACCAGCGATGTTCCTCCAGGACCCTGGAAGCCGAGGGCAGCCAAAGCCAAAAGAATGGCCGGTGGGAGAAAGGAAACAGCCCTTCCTACCCACCGGGTTTTAAAAACTCACCTCTGTGCCCATTCCCGCCAATAATAAATCTTGCCCAGATAGTTTCTCCTCCAGAGGCACACTACAATAACAAAAACAACAAGAATGTATTATATAGAGAGCAAGCGTGGTGTAGTGGTTTGAGTGTGTGACTATGGAGACCAGGGCTCGAATCCCAGCTCAGCCATGAAACCCACTTGGGCAAGTCACACTCTCAGCCTCAGAGGAAGGCAATGGCAAACATCCTCTGAAGAAATCTTGTCAAGAAAACCCCATGGATGGCATTGCAAAATGTGGGACATGACGAAACAGAAGCTAGAAACACTCATATGAATCTAAATTCATGCTTCTTAGTCATGCTCAAAAGGGAACGCCTTTTGAAATTTCTCCTGGATAGAAGGATGAAATGTGGGACATGTTCTGGAAAAGGAGGATGGATGGTCAGCCTGGCTCAAAATGGAGGACATTATGGAATTCCTCCTGGACAGAAGGAGGTGGGAAGGGAGGGCCTTTCCTGGTAAAGGAGGATGTCTGGTCACCCTGACCCAGCCTGGTCTCTTACCTTTCAGTGAGCATAACTCTAGGGTTACAAAGTCCTTCCTTTTGAAGGAGGATTAGGAAAGCCAGGCTCTTCTTCTCCTCCCTTAGGGGCCCACTGGGAGACAAGTCACACTCTATCAGCCTCAGAGAAGGCAATGGCAAACCTTTGAACAAACCTTGCCAAGAAAACCCCATGGTAAGTTTGCCTTATGGTAGGGTTGCCATAATTCTCTTCTACAAAACTGGGACAAATTGTAGGACATTCAAGAAAAATGGAGGACATGACCAACTAAAAGCCCAAAATGTTACTATAAATTCATGCTTCTCAGTCATGCTCAAAATGGAGGAGTTTTTGATGTTCTTCCTGGGCAGAAGGTTGAAATATAGCACATGCCCTAAAAAAGTTTTAAAATAATTGGGAAGTGGGTTGAAAAAAGAGGCTGGTCTGGAATAGTGAAGAGGGGAGAGGGGGAGACACTGACACTACTTAAATGCACAATCCTGGAACTGCTGTGGGAGTAACTTACAGTACCTGAGGATTAGCACTATACCAATATTATTGGAACCTTATTGATGGGTTTTTCCATCAATGGCACATTTAAGGGATAAGACAGTGAGAGAAGGAGACAGCATCATGTAACAGGTATGGCAAAGACACTATTATCCAACTTGTATGGTGGTTTAAAAGCCATTTGTGATAAAGTTATTCATTTTCACTCTCCTACCTTGCTCCAGCTCTTGAAAACAAGTTGGAAATGGTGGTTTGTGAGGAAAGCATAAAATACATTGCTGTGTGAACTTTTAAAATGGCTACATTGGACGTTATCACACGTGGGCCAGAAAGCGAAAAGAAAGTGGAAATGAGGCTTTTTGAAAATAAATGGAAAATAAACCTTAATTCCGCAAACGTAATTACCTTAATAGCGAATTTACAGTAAGCGTATTTAACATTCACACACAAGCAAAAAAAGCCCTTAAATGTACTAGAAATGAGCTTCTTGCACATGTGCAGATAGAGGAATGCTCACTGGAACCATGGCAACAGCAGGGAAATGCTCCCAAATGCGCATTTGGTTAGCACATTACGGTAAATGCTAAATTACCTTAACTGCGCATTTGCATTTCCTTCAAACAATCGAATTTCAAAAGATCATGGTTAACACCAGTTTCTGTCTACTTTCTGTCCAGTTTCTGTGCAACGTCATGTGAAAACACGGGGCACTAATCCAGTTTCTGTTTGGGTTTTGTGTGGATTAACCAGCAGATTTGCCCCCATGTGATAACATCCATTCTCTCTCATCAACAGGTATGCCAACAAGTCCTTCAATTCCAATATGCTTTATTGATATCTCTAGATAAGAGATTTCTGTCTCCTTATCACTTCTTAGGAAAACTGGGTCCAGGTATAAAGACTTTTTTCTTTTGAATATTAATATTTCAATAACAAAACTATTGTAAATAGAAAGTGCTGTCAATGAAAATGGAGAAAGGCTCTGCAAAAGGACATTTGGCTAGAAATTTGTATTTTTTTCTCCCTTTGGACTGGGGAAGTCAGTTTACTGTGAGCTCAATACTGAGGGACAAAAACTGTATACAATACCAATGCAATTGTATTATTGCCCTTGAAACTAGAAAAGCATTTAAAATTTTGAAATAGTCATTGCTGGAACTATGGCAAAAACATAGTAGTTTCCATCTCCCACACATGGTGGACATGTGGTGGATCTGTTGTTGAAATACTATCATCTTTTACTAAAGTAATGTACTTATAGAATGGAGGTACTCACAGTAGCGGCCCTGAAACCAGGCATTGGGATACAACCTCCATTCTGGACAGGGTCATACTCTCCATGAAGGACTGTGTTCACAGTCTGGGGGTGCTCCTGGATCCATTGCTCCAGATGACTAATCAGATAAATGTGACGGTCAGGAGTGCTTGTTATCAGCTTTGGCTGATATGCCAGCTGCTCCCTTTCCTGGAAGTAAGGGACCTTGAAACTGTGGTACTCGTGCTGGTAACCTCCCGCCTTGACTTCTGTAGCATGCTCTACATGGGGCTGCCCTCATGCTTAGTCCAGAAACTTCAATTAATACAGAACATGGCAGCTAGATTAATATCGGGTACATCTAGGAAAGATCATATAGCACCTGTACTAAAGTCTCTCCACTGGCCTATCAGTTTTTGGGCCCAGTATAAGGTGTTGTTTATTACCTTTAAAGCCCTATATGGCTTGGGTCCAATCTATCTCCGGGACCGCCTCCTGCCATACAATCCACCCTGCACACTTCGGTCCTATGGGAGGAATCTGCTGCAGCCGATAAAAACTAGGCTGTCGGCAACCTCCCAAGGGCCTTCTTGGTAACCGCTCCCAGACTATGGAGGCCTGCCGGATGAGAT